AGTTTTTTTTATATATATTTTTAATATATATTTTTTAAATATATATTAAATATATAGAATCAACAAGACAATATTCCTTTATTACGTAGCCTCATATAGTGAGCATTCAGATCACCGATCTTTGATCTGGCGATATGTTTTCGAATTATTTTTTTAAATTTAATATTTAATTATGGTCAAATAAGCTGAAATTTTGAGAGAGGAAGGCTCTGAATGTAAAATTTTAACTTCACTTTTATTTTTCAAGATATTAATAAAAAATTTTTGGTAGAATACATTGAATTTTGGTTACATGTATATAGACAATATATGTATCAATATGATATGATTTATTGTTTGTATAAACAATTTTAATTACAATTTTATAATACATATGTATTACATGCGAATGACATCTAAAATGTATAACGGATATGTATAAATTGGTTAAAAATGTATTTCCTTATAGATTATTCCCTATAGATTGATGGATTTAAAATATTTCAAATCTAATGCCAAATATTGTATAAACAAAATACAATGTAATAATAGTAATATATTTTAATATATATTTTAATATATTTTGTTAATATTTCGAAAATTATGAATTTGTGATAATTTAACTATCATGATAATATAATCTTTGTTTCATAAGTTTTTAATCGACATATGACAAACAGTAATTTAAGTATTAAAGTCCTATTTATGTTTTAACAATATTATTGAATATATTTATATTTTAACAATAACATTTCAACAATATTAAAAGTATATTTATATTCTATTTATATTCTCTATAAGTATATTTAAATTCTATATATATATTTTTGAAAATTATTTTAATTTTATCATAAATTTCATAAAATATTTCTATTATTTATGATTTTTATTAGATTATATAGTCTCTCTAATTAGTAAAGTAATAAATTATATATTATTTCTAATAGTGACATTGTTCATATAATATTAATATTAAACAGAATATTGTCAAAATTATATAGTTAATTTATATAATAATTTATAATTTATGTTAGATTTTAATAATGTTAGATTAACGCAATAAAAATATTATAAATAATTGTAATATTGTTCTACATAAGATGTTTCATATTATATCTCTTATAAATGAAACAACAAATAATATTTTATTATTGATTCATTATATTGATTCATTTGTTTATTCAGTACAAATTTTTTTTATTTTCTTATTTTTTATAAAATTGGAATAAAAAAAATTTTATCTTATTAGACAATGCGACAAAAATGGCGCATTGTAAAACATTACTAAAATATATATTATCGTAATTATGACAAAAAAAAACATTATCCAATATTTTTTAATTCATTTTACATTATAATAATTATCAAAAAATAAAAATTAATTACTTATATCATAAATACTATATTGAATGATTTAAGAAAAAATTAAGAAAACTTTATATAAAATTTGCAATAAAATGAAATTTGAGTAAATTGCAAGTTTTGAGAAACATTGAAAATTATAGGATTTTGTCGTAAAGCTTAATTGTTATCTTTTTTTTTCCATCCTTCTTCTTCAATTCTAATATTATAAAATTGCAATATTTAAATTAAAATATTTTCTAATGAATTTTTAACATTAATAGATTAATATTTTATACAAATGCAAATAATAATATCAATTAATACATTCAAAATTATATGGTTTCATTTTGAAGATGATTTCAAAAATCTTCTTCACTTAATCTGAAAAAATATATTTTATACCATATGATATTTAGTTTTAAATCAAACAACTTTCATTTCAAAATAATGTTTTGATAATTTCAACTTCTTATGTAAAAAATTCCCATGTTAAAATAAAAAAAATACTGATCATTTTTTGTTATACATAAAAATAAAGTTATATTTTCTATATATAACTAAATTAAAAAATGCTTTTATTTTAATTTATAATAAATATATCTATACAAAAATATAATTTTAGTTATATAATTTAACTAATAATTTAAAAGGAAATTTAGTAACATAAATTTTAATAAAATTTATTATATTTAAATCAATTTACATATAATTTAATTTAGTCCATTTTTCACTAACTACCCATAGCCATCTTGCAATTTGATCATTTTTTTGCTTCACTTGAAACATCTGCTATTTTATTATTACTATAACAAAAATATATATATATGATATTAAATTTACTAATATTTTAAATTGTAAATGTATGAAAAGTCTTACACAAAATATTCTCCAGACACATCATTCAAAGATGGATCTATTGCAACAAATAAAATTGGTTGCGCTCCTTTTAAAGGTGTCTTTATAAATATCCATGTTAATAAGTCTGCAAGCAATCTACCAAAATAGTATTGATAAATTCCCATATGTCGCATTATTTCTGTGCGTACTATACCAGGATGTACTGCATTTACTGTAACCCCAGTTCCTAAATGACAAAAAGAGTAATATATTTATGATTGATATCAATGATTAAATTATTATTATTCAAATTAAAATATTATTTTATAATATAATTGTAATTATACCTTTTAATTTATTTGCTAATTCTTTTGTAAACAGAATATTAGCTAATTTGCTTTGTGCATATGCTTCACCTGGCTCATAATTTTTTTTCGCTATTTAAATCATCCAATTTAATTTTTCCACGCTTATGTGCACTACTTGAAACATTTATAATTCTTGATGGTACAGAAATTTTTAAAACATCTAATAACAAATTTGTTAATAAAAAGTGTCCTATGTGGTTTACACCAAATTGCATTTCAATTCCTTCTTTAGTATGTTTCTTAGGACATCTCATTACTCCTGCATTATTTATGAGAATATGAAGGTTATTATGCTCTGTAATAGAATTAAGTATGAAATAAAAATTTATATATATAAATGTTATATATAAATATAATATAATAATATATAATATAATAATTATATATAATATTAATATAATAATAATAATAATAATTGTGTATAATAATTATATATATATATATATATATATATATATTAAATATTATTGTGTTTAATTTCATTCTATATCTTAACACAAACTATACCTTCTTTAAATTGCTTTACAAAATTTCTAATACTTGCTTGAGATGCTAGATCACACTCCCTACAATAAACAAATTTATTCTTACTTTCTATTACAATATCACGACGTGCCTAAAAAACAAAAATGAAATTTATAAATTTTGATTTTTATTATTTAAAATTATTTTTATTATCATCATTATCATCATTATGATATTTTATTTTATCTCTATTTTATTAATAGATAATAACAACAACAACAAAAATAATAATAATAATATTAATACAATTTCACATTTATCCATATCTCTACAAGCCATTATAACTTTAGCTTCTCGTTTGGCTAAATCACGAGCTAATTCTTTACCAATTCCAGTATTTGCTCCTGTTACAATAACTATTTTATCATTTAATTTGTCAGTATTATCATATAAATTTCCACTAAGATAATCTCTGAAAAATAAAAGAATGTACAAAACTAAATACAATAAATTATAATTTCAGATTTATCTATACAATAATAAATATATAAATTTACATATTGATTTTTATTATTAATACTATAATAAAAATTAAAGGATTATAGAAAAATTGAACAAGTATAAATACATTACTTTAATATGTATGCACCACCAATGATACTTATACCGGCTGAATAAAGATAAAAAGGTTTTGCAATACGTGAAAACATTTTTGTATTAAATTTTAATTTCAATAATAAGAAATTATTAACAGTGATTAAATAATAAAATATTATAGCTTTTCTTTTTTACTTTACAATTAATTTCTTTACTACATCATACTTTGTTTATATCATGCTTGCACGTGCTTTTTAATAAAAGTAAACAATGAAACTATATATATTTATATCTAATCAATATGAAACCATAGATTAGAAATAAAATAGATTCAGTACATTTTTGTTATTTAGTTTAAGAGATCTTCATTATTCTCGTATTATATGCAATATTATCAATTCAGATTGAAATAAAATTATAGAGTTATGTGCGTTACAAATAGAATGCCACATATGATACAGATATTTTATATTTAATTTATGTTATTAAATTTAATTTTTTATACAATCAACAATTCAAACGTAAAATCCCTTAGATCATATATATATATTAGAAATTAGAACTTAGACCATATATGATCTAAATAAAATAAAGTAGTAAATCTATTCAATACTTTGTTTGTGACGAAATTATAATTTTGCATTGGTTAAAATATATCAAAATATATATTATATGTATTTTATATATTAAAATATATTAAAAATATATATTATTCAAAAAACAATAAATAAATTTATGTATTTTATAGTTTTATTATATTATAAAGTTTTCAATACTATATATTGTTTAATGAAAACCAAAATGATTTAATATTTAGAAACATTAATTTATATTTGTTGCAAATATAAAATTAAATATTTTTAAAAAAAATATTGTGGTAAATTGAATAAAAAATAGTGAATTTTAATACATATCGATATGTATTAATCTATATGACAGTCTGTTTGGAATTGTGTATATTATCTATATATATAGATGTGACGTGGAACTTTTGAAATGTTCTGTTATCATTATTAAATATATTTATAAGTATCATAACATCATATAAATTTTTTATTTTTTTCTATATATCATAATTTAAAATATGTCGCTGCGGAAAGGATTATTTATTATGAAACATATAAAAATATCACAAAGAGCATTTGTTCATAGAAGTTTTCAGTTATCACGAAAGGTTTGGAATTATATCTAAACTCGATTTTATTTTTTATTAATTTTTTCTTATTAAATAATATTTTTAATGTTTATTGCAATCAGAAAAATTTTCTATTTTTAATCGTTATTAATTCTGTCATGATAAAATGACTATCTTTTAAATTTTAAATTGTAAGTGTAAAATTATTAATTATTATTATTATTAATATTTTATAAAAATATTAATATATTATATTAAAAATATTTCATTAATTTTAATTATTAGAGAAATCAACATATATTAGTAAAAAAATTATATACTCTGCCTTCATTTACTGCCATGGCTATTTGGGGTCTCAAAAAAATAAAAGGTGAAAACGAAACAATTATAACTACAAAAGAAGTCTTAATAGCAAAAGCTGATGCATTATATGACCAGGAGCAATATCAAGAAATATATAAATTTTTAATAAATTATAAAGTAATTATATCTTTGTATTGAAAATATATATTTGTAAAATTAAACTATAAATTTTTATAGGATAGTGGCGATGTTGAAATTATATGGCGTTTATGTAGAGCAATGTATAAAATGTCCAAGAATGCTAATGAGGTAGATGGAAAAAAATTAATTTTTGAAGCTTGCCATTTAATACTTGATGCTATTAAAATAAAAGAAGATCATTGGGTTGCCCATAAATGGGCATCAATTCTTCTTAATTCTAAGACCCTTTATGAAGGAATGAAAGCTCAAATAAAAGAATCATATAATATTAAAAAACATATGCTGGTATATTTTGTTATATTTTTAAATATTTGATTAATTAATATGTAAAAAGACATAAATATTTAATATTGCAGAGAGCAATAGAATTAAATCCAAAAGAACCAACTCTTATGTATATGTTAGGTTCTTGGTGTTATCAAATTGCTGATTTAACATGGTATCAGAGAAAAATTGCATCAATAATATTTGCGGAACCACCATCTTCATCTTTTGAGGAAGCATTAAAATATTTTGAAAGTGCAGAAGAAATTGAACCTAATTTCTATAGCCAGAATTTATTAATGTTGGGAAAAACACATTTAAAATTGAATAACAAAGAAAAAGCTTTGAAATATTTAAAAATGACTATGGACTATCCTGCAAAAAATGATGATGATCGTAATGCCAAACAAGAAGCACAGAAATTATTAAAGAATTTTTGACAAATAGTATATGAGTACAATATATAATATATATATAAGAATTAATTAAATTAAGTTTTAATTGAAGGAATAAGATAAATTTAGAATTTAGCATTTAGCTTTAAGTAAAATTTATTTATTTAAAACAAAATATAATGTTATTATTACTTATTTGTGATAATTTTTTACAATGATATTTTAAATATATAATATACATTTTTTTATAAATATACATTTTTATTGAAAACTGAATTAAAAATTTTAATTTTACAATTATAATGTACATTTTATAAAATATTTTATATGTAATAACTTATAAATAGTATATTTACATATATTTTCAGAAACAAATAAAACATATTTTGAAACAATATTATATAAATTTTCTATGATTCTTAATTTCATAATTTATAAATAATACAATGATATATATATCGTTTTTTTGTGCAATATTTTTTTTATGCTAATTATGCATATTACAAAAAAAATTGCATATTATTTTTTTTACAAATTGAATAAATTTATCGATCTACTGATTCCTCCTCTTCATTATATTTGTTTGTTTCATTGTGATTTTGTGTATCTAATATTTCTATATTAATATAATTTCTATCATTGAAATTTGCATTTTGGTAAATTATTTCCATTTCTTGTATTTCGTTGTCTTGAATTAGTAAAAATCTTTGTCTATCTTCTAACGCAATATTCCGATAATATACGAAATATCGTCTATACATGCAATAGGGACAGTAATTTTGATGCTGCCTTATAGCTTCTAGCACATCTTCTTCATTATAATACGTAGGTATATTAACCATGATTCACTTATATTGTCACCCACGCACTAAAATAAAAGGTACAAAATAAATAAAACTAGAAATATTATAAAATAACAAATAAAGAAAACTTTTTTTAAGGTATTATTAGTGAAAATAAAACTAATAATTTAGTATTACATAAAACATAGTACATAAAACAAATAGTGAAAAATAACTGAATAAATTAATTATGATAAATAAAATAAATTATTATATATTTATATTTAAATATAAGTAACGCAGGATATATTATTATTAATTATGATAAAATAGAATAAAATAATTTTATTCTATATTATTCCACTTTATTCCACATATTTAACTTTATCAAAAATTATAAAAAATTATTATTATATATATATTTTTAATAATGTACTCACCGTTTTAATATATTTAGTAAAAACGTCTTTTGTATAAAGACGTACACTGCAATGCGATCAAATTGTATCACACAAATTCTCTGATTTGTATTTGCACCAAATATTTCCAACTGGTTCACTCCAAAATTAACTGGATAAATTATAATAAACAAATTATTATATATTTTAATTTAAATATAAGTAATACGAGATTTATAATTATTAATTATGATAAAATAAAATAAATTATAATTCTGTATATAACTTTATCAAAAATTGAATTTGAATGTACTCACTATTTTGAAAAATTTAACAAAAACTAAAACTTCGCTTTCTTTTATATAAAAGTGCACACTGCAATGGAACAATATTATATCTAACTCTCTGTGTTTGCAGTGAAAATGTCAAATATTTTCAAGAGCTCGCTTTTATATAGGTAGTCGGTCTACCTGAATAACGGTTTTTAAGAATTATTGCGCCCTTTTGTCATTTTGTTTAACTACCTAAGTTTCTCCGTCTCTCTCTTACTAATTTCTTTGTTTTAGGAAAATTTATATGCACATCATGGATATTTAGAAATTAGTTTATACGATATCATCATGTATTTTTTTTTATGTATATGAAAGAAAATAAATAATAACAATTAAAATTGAAAATAGTGTTAGTCCAATTTATTATTTATCGAGTAAAAAGCGAATACACTGTTTACTTTTATAATTTATGATTTTGAATAAATAATAATTTACGCATTATTTCTATCTTAGCCTATTACTATTGGACTATTAAAATAATAATTGTCTCTAGTTAATACGTGTATATATTGATAGAAGTTCGTTAACGTAATAATTATTTTATTAATTATTCGAAATATATTGTCTAAATGTATCAAGTTATTCGAATGATATAATTTATATATATAAAATATTAAATATATATCGATTATCGCTTTATTATTTATTATTATATTAGCGTTGTATTAATATAATTTTAAAAGAAATGCAGGAACACGTTTTTAAATATGTCACAAATTTAAATATTTTTAAAATTTCAAATGTTATTCTTGTCTATAATGAATTATATTTTTTAAAATATATAAAAATTATAACATAACATTTTTATAAATAAATGCAAAAATGAAGAAATAAAATTTTAATACATTTCGACAAAAGTCATATTATTTCATTATTTTTATTGAAAAAATAGTTTGATCAAAGAAATTTCACATGTATGCTATAATATTATTTTACGATTAATAATTTTGAAAAATTTTGGAAAAAATTTTCCGAAAACATTTTGAATGGAAAGCTATTTTTTTTTCGATATTCAGAATATTATAATAAACACAAGTTTTAATTTTCGCAAAAAAGGATAAGAGGTAGCTATATTTTTAAATTAAAATGACAATGTTATTATTTTATTTTTAGAATATAAAACATTATATTTTCTTTTGTATTAATGTTTATTTTAAATAAAATAAATAAATAGACAATACGGAGAATTTGTTGAATATGAAGAAAGAAGTATTCGAAATGAATTTTCTAATGAATATGAATCAATTTAAGATAAATATGTATGTATTAATATGATTCAAATCTTAAAGTTGAAAAACAAATGAATGACTCAAATGAATAATAAATTAGAGCAATATTAAATTAAAATTAAGTTTTAATTTATATCAATATTAATTTTAATTCTTCAATGATAGAGAGAATATACATTTTCACTTTTAAATATAAAATAGTGAATTAGTAATTAAATATAATGTTTTTATTATTATTGTCTTATTATTATCATTTATGATTTAATTTGTATATTATAATAATTTTAGTTATTTTTTATTTTCATCCTTCATTATACATATACATATAACACATTTTCTCCAAAAATCCAATAAATAATTGAATTTATTTTAATTTTATTACTTTGATTTTTAGATCTAATTGTGTTTAATGTAATATGAATGTTTCAATTTGATTTCAAAATTTTAATCGTAACTTAAAAAATTGTTATTTATTAAAATAAAATTAAGAGTGAAACAAATTATTATATTATAGCAAAACTAAAAATAAGTATCACGAATATTATAGCAAAGTTAATTATTAATAAATATTTTTTCCACAACTTTATTTAACATTTTTTATTGCAAAATTCTCTCGAAGCTACCTCTTATATATGATTCAGCAGTTCGCATTTTATTTCTTAATATCATAAATATACATACTAACAAAAACTTTACAAAAACTTACAAAGATTTCTATTGAATATTTACGTTTTTAATAGATTAATTTAAGCATAAGAAGGAACGCTTTGTTGATTATTACATTTATATGTATTTATTTTTATAAAAAATTTCGTATTCAATGTTACATTATTTTCGCAATTTATTTATTTTCCGTATAAAGATTATACGTTCTCTAATAATTATAGAGAATTTTCTTCTCAATATTTAGAGAATTTAATTTAAAAAGAATTTTCTTCTTTTCCTCGCTTGTTATGCCTAATACATATTTACATTACTAAGATTGCAAACACATTCGAATGTTTATTTGCACGTGTATTCCTCTGTACGCTCGGTACACGTTTCACAATGCACGCGGCAGCACCAATGAAATTTGCATCTGCACTGCCACGTTCTTGTAAACTGATGTGTATTATAACCGCGTCCACAACACATCAAATCACATCCATCGGTACCTGAAAAATTAGTAATTTTATTCTTTTTTAATGTAAAAAATATTTTTCTTTAAATATTGGGGAAAAAAATTGTCTTTTGAAAATAATGAAAGATTTTATATAATTAATATTTAAATTTTGAACGTTGATTATTTGCTTAAATGTAAAAAAAAAATTATAATACATAAATTTATCATTAATTAATCACTTTAACGTCGTTTAATATTAGGATAAAATGAAAAATCAAGATTATATAATATATATAATTTTAATGGACATCCTTTTAGATTATTTTCTCTTTTTTATTTTAAATTATATTGGAATCAATTTATTTTATATTTATAATTTTCTTTTATATGTTTGTTTTGTTTCATTTAACTTAATTGTTTATAACTTAATAACTTTATAAGTCTTGACATTGTTGTTTCGCCAATTTTTGTGTTGATTTTGATACAATTGATATTTTAAAGATGCTCGATAAATATGTATATTTTGTTAAAGATAACTTAGTTGTGATTATTTGTAATTTGTATGAATTTTTACGAATATAACAGAAGAGAAATAATTAATAATTATATGGAAGAATAAATCGCTGAACATAATGCAACAGTAATTTACCTTTGCTTGTACGATTACAATATCTGCCTTGCGTTCCCAGGCTTCCTTGCACCAAATCTGGCTCGCAATAATTAGGGGATGGTTGTAGAAAAACCAGCTCGTTTCTCTTTGGAATCCTTTTCTGTCCCACGCTCGATCCACCGTTCGATTTTGTTCTTTTCAACACTAAATGCGGCCTTCTTGGTTTCGTCGCTTTTTTGGGGGGTTGTCGATCATGTCGGGATTTTCCAACATCGTTCGGTTTCCCTTGGGTTTTCGCATCATTTCCTAAAATCGGCACTATTTCTGCCGATGTCGAGTGTAGCGTTTCTAAACTCTAAAGAACAAAAAATTTGTGAATGATTTATAATATAACAATAAATAAACAAATGTATAAAGTAATGGTACGTTTATGATATCTTATAGCTTTCGAAACGCTATATTAGAATTCATTTTCATTTACTTGTTTCAAAATCAAACCTTTTCGACTTTTTTTTATAATACTATTTTTTATAACACGTTTGATAATTTAAATACAATATATACATATATAATTGTACGTAATAATTATTTTCAAAGATACATATTGTTAAATTTTTAATTAAAATTTTTTACATTAATGACAATGTTAAATTAAAAATTTTCAATTTCATAATTATTATGTTATTGTGTCGAATGAACGATTTTATATACTCCATTTTTGTGCAGAATGATTATATGTTGCATTTCAACAACGTTGACACATTTTTATAGAAATTACCTGCATCGTAGGGGGTGGTGGTGGGGTAATCGCTATGACAGGCCTGGCTCTGTAATACTTTTTCATCAATGCATCGCCGATCTGACGAAAACTAGGCAAAGTTCGCCAGCAGGTTCTCACGGTGCAAGAGCCGGACACGCCATGACATTTGCATTCTGTTCGCAGGAGAGCTTTGACTATCTGCAAAGAAACAAATATTTACACGATTCAATTTATGTCTTTTATCGCCGTGTAATTTCAAATCTCTATATTTTATTCCATAGATTGCTTCCAGCACGATATGTGCAACATTCAGAAATGCTTTCAAATTGATTATGCTCATAATAATAAAGTATATTGAAATCGCAATTTTACTTTTATTCCTTTCTTTTTATAATTATATTAAAATAAAACCAAAATAATAATTTTAATATTTACTTTTCGTCATTTTATTATTGTAATTATATTGTTTGAATGCATAATGATAACGACGACAATTATATAATCATAAACGTATTCATAATTTGTTCAATCACATCATACGAAAATGTTTAAAAATTATTTTAACTTACTTGATTTACTTTTATAAAGAATTAATACTTTTTTAAAGTAAAATTTAATTTATTATTTAATTATATCATAAAAAATATTACAGGATCCTAATTAATATTTCTTAGATCTTTTATATATATATATATATATAAGTACAGGAAAAAAATATTTTTTACTTCGTATTAACAAAAATATAAAGTTATGGGTAAAGTACACACAAAAGAAATCTTAAAATTTTATCGTAAAAATTATTGTGTTACGCTTTGTCTCTTACTTTTATTGAGATCAATATTATCGAATTTTAAAATTTTAAAATTTTCGACAAAAAAAAAGAGAAATGCTTAATTTATAAAACATAATTACTCAAATATTTCGATGCACGCGTTTCTCCTTCTCGCTCATTGTGTGTCCGACGGGTATGCTCAGAAAACTGGTTTACATTTCGAATTATCGGGAGACGGTGAGGGGCGGGTGCAGAGGTGGGTTGAAAAAAATCGTCTGGAGCATAAAGTATGCGGTATGGCGAGGCGATCGACGTTAAGAATAAATCGTTAGCCATGTCTGTACGCGCGTGCACAGATCGTACATGCACGTGGAGGGCAACCGGACGATATATGCGCGTTTTTATTACCGCCTCGATAATAAAGCCCATCGAGAAAGACGAAAGCTCACCAACTTTCCCCAATTAAAACGCCGCCATTTATCCGCCCTACCTAAGGCGGAACGCGATCTTTCGCTAACCTTTCGTTTCGATCGTCGACCCTGCCTTATACTCCCCCGCCTTGATTTGTTTCTGAACCCGCGTTTGCTCTTAATTCAAATTGATTTTTTAACTCGTAAAGAGATGGAAGGATATTGCTAAAGTTCCAGGAAGTATTTCGTATAGAGAAAATTTATCTTATCAATAATGATTATTTCGACTGCAATTTATTTTATTCTATTTTATTTTATTTTGAATCGTGTTTAAAATTATTTTTCTTTTCTGAAAAATTGTCAATTACTTAGTTATATTTTATTTTATCAAATGGAAATTTACTTTAATTTGGAAATTAATGAACTGACAAAAATTAACATTTTTAATCATCGATTAATAATTATGACGATTAAATCAATTGCATTATTTGAACGATTAATTTCTCTCATTCTCAAATATCAACTTAAATAATTTAATCGATTGATGCCAACATCGATAATTTATTTACATGCTTAATTTTATAAAAATAAAAATTTCATAAGAAAAAATAAAGTTCATATTAAAAATCATAATAAAATGAATAAAGTAAAATTATATTACGCATACGGATGATGGGAATAAGATTGTCAACAATGTCAGAAATTATCCGTACTTGTATTGTTAGAAAATATTCTCATAAACTGTACGAATAATACCTGCATTTAACATTTTCTTAGTCACCTTCGTTATCCCTATTTTCTTATACCTGTTAGTGATAATCCAAAATAGAAAACTAGAAAACTTATGAATTGCAATGATTTATGAGACATTTCTAAGAATTATATTTATATTTTTCTATTTACTTAATATTTACCTAATTTACTGATTTTAAACAAAATTTATATTAGGCATTTATTAAAAAATATTAATAATAACAAATTTTTATTTAATTTTTTTTTTTAAATAAAAAGAATAATACAACAGAATTGTATTAATATATCAACAGTTTTATTCATCCTTAATCTGAAAAATTTGCATTCAAGAATGTGATACGTTTATAATAAATTTGCAAATTTAATTTTATTATAAAAATAATAAGAATAATTAAATTATATAATAAAATAAATAATTTACGTCCAATCTCATATAATATTATTATCATAAAATATTATCATAAAATATATACAATATATATACTTGCATAATGTTAAGTATGTATGCATATATATGCATAATTTGTATATAGAAGAAAATTTTGAAATCAATCTTTCCACAAAAATGATTCATAATAAAAACGAATATTATCACTGGTTTATTTAAAGAAAATCCAATCATAGTTTTTATAGCGTTAAAAGGAATGATTCATTAACGGTGATTAGCATTACTCACCTTTCGACCAGCTTTATTATTATGAAGGTTCATCAGGCTTCTCGCGTCACCCTCGACTTCCCTCGCGTCCAGAAACCTACGCGCGAACCTAGCATTAAATTATAATATTAAAATTCATGCGTGTAACAACTGTCGTGACGTACAATGTCATAGAGGTTTTACACGCACATGACACGTGCAAAAGGAACCGACTACGAATTTATTAAGGATCCGGGTTAATCCCTACCTCATCCCGTACGTGACATCTGCGCTGCAACCGCCCCATTCCCAACCATTTGGTGGCAACTCCTTTCTCGTCCTGCAAAAAAGAACATTCAAACCTTGATGAACCAATAACTCATTAAATTCGTGATGAAAAAATTTCACTATTAATTTTTATACAATATTTTTTGTAAAGAAAAGTTTTAATAAGTTTTAAATTTGTTTGAAATGAATTTATAATGAAAATTTGAAAAAAGTAACAAAATATTTGAAAACTTTCATATTAGTTTCACTAGGCATAATTTTTTAATAGTACAGTAATAAAGAGTGAACCAAATTAAAAGTAATAAAAATAAAATTATTATTAACAAAGATCGATGAAACTTTTTTTCAAAATATAACGTTTTAATTCTGCTTCTCACAAATTTATGAATAAGTCTAATAATAAGTATGTTTTTAATATTTATTCAAAACGACTTATTTATAGATCTTTCTCAGAAAACTTAACAGTTACTTAATCCTTCGTTTCATACCTTTTTTTTTTTAGTCTCACTTTACAATTCCTTCTTAAGTCTTTGAGAATGACTAGAATTGCTGTTAGAAACCGTTACTTTACGGAAGAATTAGAACAGGTAAATAATATTTTATACCTGATCCCGTTGATGACTAACATTTAGGCTAGAATAAGTACAATAGTAAAAGTTTACCTTACGGTGGGTTCGCAACCACAATCGGTGATGTTGCCCCTGCTGCAAGCTGCGGTTACGGCGTACGTTACACCCGCTGAACTTATTGCGTACGTGAAAGCTGCTTCCCTGCTTCCTGAAATAGATCAGTGAGAAATTTCCTGTTAGATATGGCGTCGAAGCAGGTCTGTCCAGTTTGTGTTGTGTCCGATAAGTACGAAACGTGTATAGGGATTTCCAGGTAAGTAAAAACCTGCCACGTGACAAATAGAGTTACAATGTATGGTGTCGTCCTCGGAACAATGCAAAGAAAAAGAGGGATTTTGTGAAAAAAAGTGTTAATTGTCTATGCCGGACACCTGGACGTTCGAACGAAGAAAAGTATTTGTTAGGTTTTAATAAAAGTCTTCTTGGAACCATTTATCTTGCGTTTCATTTTTTCAATTTTCTTCAATTTCTATAGAAAAACTTCGTTAATAATCGAAAACTTTGCTTCATTTGAAATTTTGCGATTTTTTAAATATAACACTTGAAGAAAAGTATTGAAATAATTTTTATTTTGTTATAATTTATATTATAATTTGCTTCTTTAATGTAAAGATTAATGTTAATATGTGGTTTTTTATTATTGCTCTATGTAAAAAATTTTTTATATAACATAATGTAAAGATTTAATGATATTTATGCTCTATAAAATAAAATTGGTGGTGAAAATTTTTTTTATTTAAAAACAAAAACAGTTTTTAGTAATATAATGTAATATAATGTAATTTTTCATTTAACTTATTATAATAGAAAATTAAAAATTTTCCATCCTCCAAAATTTTAATTATTATTTATTAAATAATAACTGAAAGATTTATTTTGTATGTATTTATTACGTATGATTGACTTATTAAATTGTATTCTTATAATAAAACAAGTTTAAAAAATTTTATTAGAAAATTAAAATGATTAAGAGGAACACGAAGAAAAGAAAATATATAATGTATTATTATTTATATAATTCATATGCATATGTTTATTCATACATATATAAGATGTCTCTCTTGATTTTTTTTATTATTAATAGCGAAAAATATTTCAAAAAAAATTGAATGCAGGAAAAAAGGAAAGCACATTATTTAATTAATTATTTAATTGGTTTTTTTTTGAATGATTTAAAACATATAGAGATCAACTTTTTTATTAAATACAACTATTTTAATTAAGTAAAATTACATTTTTTAATACATTAATCAACGCAGCTTGAAATTTTTTATAAAAAAATACTAATTCATATATGTTTAAAAATTATAATTTAAGAAATATTTTAATTTGAAAAATTTTTGAGAAATAAAAAACGTGATACTCATCCGTTTGTTTTCATGCAATAAATTTTACAAAATTGAAATTCATTTATTCTAAATTAATAATTTTCAGGCATATATTATACATATGGATTGATATTTTTTTCATAGAAAATATCAATTTGCATCGATTCATGCATTAAAAATTCTATTTATTTAAAAAAATAAAGTTGATCTTTATGTGATTTTTTATGCACCCACTGATAAGATTCTTCGATGGATTTAAATTTTATTTAAAAACATTTTTCGCGCAAATAATAATACTGAGAAAACCAAGTAAGATGTTTTATACATATATAATTTATCACTTTAGAAGACATTTACGAGTCCCTAACTTGTCAAAAATAAAATGCAGATGTACAAGTTGGGGTTAAGGTACATGCAAATATAGGTACAGTTATGTACAGGTAATAAATGTATTATCTTTGAACAGTCAGGATTTTAAAGATGAAAATAAACATAAAAGTTTATATACAAAAGTATCGATTAAGGCTTATTTAATTATTTTAAAATAAATAATTAAAGTTTGTATAATGAAGCGAGATGGAAATAAGTAAAATTGCTTTGTCTCTATTATTGTATTGGATAGAATCGATTCTTCGAAAAATTCTATGAGTATATTAATAATTTGTATATTCGAGGATCAATTGTATTTCTACTGCAAATGATAATTTTATTTTCATATTGTTATTTTTAAGATAATCAATAGCCAAAAAGAAAAAAACAAATAATGCTATGTATTAATTATTACATGTACTATGTATTTAAAATTAAAATTTATTTAGAAGCACAATTTAATTAATTCCTAACAAATTGTTGTATTAAAAAGTAAAATTTATGTGCAAAATTTTAATTTGATAATCAAAAACAACAAAATTTCAACAAAAGAAGAGAGACATTTTAATTTTTATATTTTTGATTAATTTTGATTTGTAATCTTATAAAAAATATTTTAAAGAAGTGGAAGGAACATTTTTTAAAATTTAGAAATATTTATTGTAAAATGCTTTGCATATATAAGACAAATAATAATAAAATTATTTTAACGCACAAGATATTTCACTTAAAATTTCCAAATATCAAAATTATAATCAAATTTAATACATATTACATAATTGATGTAATAAACAATACCTTGATAACAAATTAAAATTTTATTTTTCGATTACACGAAAAAAGTTCCAAAAATTGTATCATACATTGCATCAAGTATAACAAATATGGGAAAAGAAAGAAAGCATACGCATGAAATATTTTAAAATATAAATGTATGTTTTTTTATAAATTGATAAAAAATTCCTTATTCACAATAAACAAATAGCGTGCAAGTTTTATCCTTAATTAAACGAAGGATTAAAAAAAAAAAAAAATATTAGAAAAAATGTTCTCACATAGCCGAATCTCAATTCGTCCACGTGGCGCACGTTTTAATCCACGTCAAGTGATTCGATCTACTTCATTTCGTGGACAAGTATGATACATCAACAGTGCGGCGCAAAGCCCACACTGTTCCCTGGCGTTTCCGTCACGTTAATTTACAGCTATCCGGCACACGTAGGACCGCGTAAAGCGCGAGCACAATTAATTACCTGCGGAGCTCTTTCAGCTCGTTTGCCATGCTGAATGAGTTACCGCCGCGTTCCTTTCTTCTCTCGATGTTCCCTCTTTTCGTTTTCTTTTTCCCCTCTCCTCTCCTTCCATTTTTTCTTTTTCTTTTTTTTTTTTTTCGTTCCCTCGTCTCAACTCATTCACGAGCTCTTCGTTCCCGACACCTACGCGATACTGTCCCGCGTCCAGGTTGATTTCGCGCTCACTTGCCAGCCATCAACCTCGACCAATTTTAATTCGAACGTCAGGACCGCCTTTTACGCCGATGCCTAATTATAATGCAATGAAACTCCTGGAACAATTTGCGGATTTTGACGAAGCAATTTTCATCGCGAGTCGAATTTTATTAAGTTAAGTTCATATTTTGATCTTTTAATCGGTGGCTTTTGTTTTGAAAAAAAAAAAAATATGGATTTTTACTTTTTAAGAAAAAAGTCTATAACGGTAAAAAATAGTTCTTAATATTAATATAATGATATTTAGATATTTTAAATTGAAGAAAACTTTTTTTTTTTTAATTTTTTTCAATATTTTCGTAAAAAGAAGTGTTATAAAATTTTTACTTTTTACTATAACTAAAAAATTTAAAGTTTTAAAATTTCTTTTAAAATAATCTTTCTACCTATAAAAATTGAAAGAAACTAAAGAATAAAAAGATATTAATTTAGAAAAGATTTCAAATTTTCATCAAATTCAAATATTTAATAATTTTTTGATACTGTAATAAAATCAGTCATAAAAAACTTGATTCATTGAACATTTCCAAAAAGTAATTCGTATTAAAATGTCCATTATTATCTCTTCAATTCGAGTTCGCATACATCATTTTAGGAAAGAAGATTGAAAAGTTCCGGCAGATCTTCCTACACACGATAATATCGATCGATGTTTGTTACGTTCATAATTCATAGTCACACATTTATAGATATATATGTTCCAATGATTCATTTCGTTTGATTTTTGTCGATGATCATGATCGATTGAGATCCATGTGACGATTACCTTGAAAGTATTCGCGCAAAATGTTCTGGTTCTTGTTTCGAGATTGAAATTTTTTCTGCACAAAAACTATCGAGTATTTCTGTTATGCTTAACGTATCTAATAATCTTTTTTCGCCGCATTCCGATTCTTTGAATTAATTATAAATATTGCTCATTCTCTAAGATATGCTAAATATAGCAAGTATGAGAATAGTTATGTGAAAATATATTATTGCTTTTCTAAAAAAAAAATATTTTCTTTTTTTACAAATATAAAAAATCATAATGGAAGCATAAAATTTATTTTTCTCGAAATGTAAATTTGAAAAATATAATTTGAGATACTTTTTAAAGTTATAAAGGTTTTGAGCTTTGTTTAGAATTGTAGATATATATGATGTCAAATAATAGTTTTTCAGATTTCAGATTTTTAATAATATATAATATTTCTAAATGTAATTACTTCATTTCAGCTTCATTTTTACTAACATGGAAATTGTTATTAATTGAGAAAGAATTTATTTTAATGAAATTGTTATTGTTATTAATGATAAAAAAAATAATTTAAATATGTTTTAATATTGTATATTCATATAAATATAATTGAGTACAATTTGATACAATATCTGCAATAATTATGTAATAATATATAATAAATATTTTGTTAAATTTGATTAAAAAATATTTTGTTAAATGTAAAATTTTAATATATTGAATAAAAATGAAAAGTATTTTTGTGAAAAAAAGAAAATTCGCAGGATTGATTCTTTACAATTTATCCTTTAATTCTTTTTTGATTTGACAAAACAATAATTTTAATTATTGTAGTAGGATCTTTTAATTTTAGTATATTATAGTTCTATAATTTTATAATTTAAATATACTTATCCAAATAAATGTGTAAATAAGCAATATGTGTTTAATATTAAAATGGAGTAACTTGGAGACTTTAATGACTGCATAAGAAAGAAACTTTTCATAGATAACTAAAATAAAAATATAAAAACTTCTTAAGATAGTTGAATTCTGAAAATAACATTTCTGAATTAAATAGTTATATTATAATTAATAAAAAATAATTTCAAATAAAAAAACTTCACATGTGTGAAATATTATGACGAAATAGAACGTAAGCGTTACTTAAGAATTGTTTAAAAATATGTGATGTATCGTGAAAACATTTTTGGAGTATGGATAA